TGAATTTTTCATCTCTGAAGCGTTCACGCTTCTCATCGTCGATTTCCTCCTCAGTTCTCCTTGGTCGAATCTCAATTTCGACCATCTCTTAAAACTCGTTCTCGAGTTTCCCCTCAGACCCCGCCAGAATAGGCGAACTCCCCTCGTGAAATCGCCTCCACGAACTTCTCGCGTCAAATCAGGAGCAGGTACACAGGTTGAAGCGGAGCGGAGCTGGTTGCGGAGCTGGATGCGGAGTTGTGTAGCTGCGGGAAAGGGCCTGGGGGTGTGTGGGTCCGGGGTTAGACATAGGCTCAGATTCAGTTTCAAGTCGGCGTTTTAACGAATTTTCGCCGACGCCATTTCCTACTTAGCGGCATTTTGATACAGCCGTCAGAGTGATTTTCAGCAATTCTTGTCGACCAATTTCCAGAAGTGCCGCGCTGCACACCGACAATAGCTTACTCAACCACTTCACTTGCCAACCAGATCCCGCTCCTTCGTCTCGAGCCGGACGGTACATGCTCCAACTACAAGGCTTGGCACTATGGTGTCGACAAGCACCTCCTCAATCGCGAGGTGAAGGGGCTCGAGCTCACCGACGTCCTTCTCAACATCGGTGACGGCAAAGAGCCTCCTAAACCCGAGAGGTACGCCGATCCAGCTAATGCCGCCACCGAAGCAGTTTATGCTGCTGCACTACTCAAGTACAAGAATTGGGAGAAGGCCGATGGTGCGGTCATTAGTGTCTTCATGGGCACCACTCCTCCCGAACTCGACGAAACCTACCACAACTGTTGGTGCATAATCGTTTGCACGTCATCCTGTCGTCTGTTCGCATCATTTCGTTGCATGTGTTTTGTGTGCTACGTTGTTTGTGTGGTTTGTTGGGTTTGCATGTCTTTGCATATTCATCTTGTGCTTGTGCAGATGTGCTTGGATTGTACATCAGATCGAGCGCATTCCAACGAGCCAAGAATTGTTGGAATCGGAGCACATATGAAGAAGTTACGAAGAAATGTTTGATGGATTTGTTACAACTCATTGGAAGTCCTTGGCAGCTGCTACACCAAATTGGAGAGCCCTTAAACGAGGAGGGACCAGCATGTGTGGGGCTTTTGTCCCCACCTCGCAGCTGCAGCACTTGGGGTTTGGAGACCAACCTGGCACAGTGTGAATTTTGTCTTGCCAGGCTGGCTGAACCTGAGGATGGGGAGTCAAGACTTTGACTCTTGTCATGTTCTTGACCAAGGGCCTAAAGGGTCCTTCTCTTTCATCATTTCCTTCCCACCCCACCTTCCAACTATGCTTCAATGCCTTTTCCATCATGCCTCTGAACTTGTAAGCTTCTATCATAGTGACTCTGAGGACTGTCAATTTCTCCTAGGGCAGATTACCCCCCAGTGCGCCAAACGCCATAGGTCAATCGTTAAGCTACGGAATCGAGTGATTCAACTTTCAGTGAAAAGCTGACGCTGCAAGCTACAACATATCCGATTTTCAGATCGTTTCATCGATTGGAGTTTTGGATATAGCTTTTCGAAGGTCGCGAGTTTTCTGGGCGTCATAACGAAGTGCTGCAGAAATTTCCAAGGAGCCATTGAATCATCTGCTTATAGCCTTCTCTAACCAACAAGTGGTATCAGAGCCCATTATCACGCATTTGGGACCTAAATTAGGATGGGAGATAAGGAGGACTCTGGTGGAGGTGATACTTCAGTCCAAGGAGGCAGCTCAACCCAAGATTCTGGCATTGCAGCGCAAAGGGGAGCGCGTACAAGCCAGGGGTCACTGCTTAAGGAAGTGTTGAAGAAATTCACCATTGAGAAGTTCTCTGGAGATGGCTATGATGATTGGGCATGGAAGATGCAGCTCTACTTTCGACAAATTGGCCTCTTGAAGCTCATGATTGGAACGGAGCCCAGGCCAAAGGAAATGGCAGAGCAAGCGGACTGGGATGAACGTTCATCTGCTGGGTATTATCTACTGTCACAAAGCTTGGAGCTGAACCAGAGGCATCACATCATGCATCTGCTACCGGAAACTGATTGTGGGCCCAAGGCATGGGCAATGCTCAAGGACCTGCACGCTCCGACATCGGTTGCCGCTTCTCTCATGCTGGATCGGGAGCTGTCCATGCTGCGGTTGAGCGAGAATGAACCTGTACAGCCCGTTCTGGACAAGATGAGGGAACTCTACGCGAAATTGGCGATTGCTGGCATCACATACCCTGAGCAGACTAAGTGTCTCAAGATGCTCAGCCTGCTGCCCGAGTCTTGGCTGCAATTTATAAGCGGACTCAGCTTGCCACAAAACCAAAGTCAATGGACATTGGAGTGGATTCGCACCAAGATTCTGGAAGAAGATTTTCGTCGCTACACATTGCGCGGAGGTGATGACAGCACCAGCGGCTACGCCATGCAAGGGACATGGAGAGATCGAGGGCGTGGCAATCGCGGTCGCTCTTACTACAACCAAGGTGGTCGCTGGACTTGGAACCAGCGGGGGCGTGGTGGCGCTGGTGCAAGAGGAAGAGGTGGTCACTCCAACAATGACAACAGTGAACCACGCTTGAGGGGAGAGTGCTGGTATTGCAAGGAAGAAGGGCATCCATGGTTTCGCTGCTCTACCAAGCCCGACTGGTGGACCCCTTGGAACGAATCGCAAAAGGGGAATGGAGGAAAGCAACCACATGGAGGTGCCAACCTGGTAGTTGATCCTGCTGAAGAAACCTCCAAGGATGACAGAGGAATGGGAAATGAGGAGAGGAATGCTGGACAGTTCTAACATGTGTGTGACAAAGATGACAGTGGCACAGCTGTTGCAAGGGCTGGAGAGGAATTGCACCCGCTTGACATGTGGGTTATGGACTCTGGTGCTGCATTGACAATGACACCACGCAAGGACTTGCTGGATGCTGTGCGAGCGCCTCAAATCTCTGAAGTGCGCTCAGCATCCGGACATGCAGTGAAGGTCGCTGGAGTTGGTCGAGCTGCATTCAGAGCACCTGATGGTGGACTGGTTGTGCTGAAGGACGTGTTACTCGTACCGGGGCTGAAGGCCAATCTGATATCGCTGCGCAAGCTAGGCCAGGCCGGAGTTAGCACCACCACCAATGGATCCAAAACATTCAAGGAGATCGTGTGTTATGGGATTTACACGAAAGCAGAGATGTCTTCAGATCCATGTGGCAGATCCCTGCGCTGATATGGGAATCAACAAAGAAGGAGCTGGGAGTAGTAAAGGCGGGATCTGGAGTCCAGGGGGAGTGCAATGCAGTTAGTGCTGCAGGAGTGAGGGTTTCTGCAAGATCAGGGGAGACTGATTGGGAAACTGCACACAGGCGTCTAGGGCATGTGGCTATGCCATTGCTGCAGCAAATGAATAAGGAAGAAGCAGTAAAGGGGCTGAAGCTTTCTGGGCAACCAAATGATACCAAGTGCGAGACGTGTCTGCTGAGCAAGTTCACACGGTTCCCCTTTCACGGCGTAGCTGGAAAAAGCAAGGCAGTACTGGAACTGGTGCACATGGACCTGGTAGGACCTTTTCCAGTTCAAGGAAGAAAGGGGAAAAGATACTTCCTAACAATAGTTGATGACTGGAGTCGGCTGATGTGGGCATACCCGTTGAAGCAGAAGGATCATGCTGCCTCAACAATACGAGATGACTGGCTGCCGTTCGTCGAGCGACAATCTGGGCACCCATGCAAGAGCATCAGAACCGACCGAGGTGGAGAGTTTCTAGGAGGAGATCTGACTGCGTGGCTCAAGAAACAAGGCATTGAGCATCAGCTAACGACGTCCTATACCCCTCAGTCAAATGGCGTTGCTGAGAGGGCTAATAGGACCATCCTGGAAACTGCGCGAGCGCTGCTGATCGAATCAGGGCTGGGGAACTCCATGTGGCCTCATGCGGTGAGGCATGCTACAGTGGCAAGGAACCACGTACTCACAAAGGTGGCTGATGATATGTGGGTGCCGCTGGAGAGGTGGCTTAGAAAGAAGCCTCCAGTGGACATGCTTAGAGTGTTCGGATGCATGGCAGTGGCGCATGTCCCTAAACCGTATAGGACAAAGCTTGGAGCATCTGCACTGTGGTGTGTGCACCTTGGGCTTGCGGCAGAGAGCAAGGGGTGGCTACTCTGGGAGCCCTCAAAGAATGTGCTGTTTGACAGTCGGGATGTCAAATTTGTGGAGAACATCATGTATGGCAAGTGGGAGAAGCAGCCGGAGGCAAGGGTCACTCAGCAGCTGGAAGAGATCACTATGCACTTCGATTTGTCCGAACCTGAGGACAGCGAAGTCACTGCGCCAACGGCAAGCGGTACTGATGAAGGAAGCAATGAGGATATTGCAGCTGATGCTGAAGTCAAGGATCCGGAGCAGCAGCAGCAAGAGGCTTCCAAAACACCAAGTCTGCCAAAGCGAAGGAAACAGATTGGTGGGGGGACAAAGGATTAGGTGAAGGTGAAAGAATGGGTAAATCCAACCATCTACCCTGCACGTACCAGAATGGCAACAAGAAAGCTGCTGAGCTCTACAAGTTAAGGAGCCACAACTGAGCAGCAGGAACAGGCTCAAGGCGAAGATGCAGTGCTGTTCTTGGGTGATGACCAAGAGTCAGATGACGAGGAGCCTGCATACTGCTTTTACGCACCAATACAACCTCCGAGCATGGATCATGCGCTAGCCGGGCCTCAACGGGGGAAGTGGCTCGTTTCAAGAGATGCAGAGTACAACAGCCAGATGGAGAATCACACATGGGACCTGGTGTACTTGCCAAATGGGAAGAAGGCAATACAGTGCAAGTGGCTGGCAAAAATCAAGACGGATGAGAAAGGAGAGCCATCAGTTTACAAGAGCAGGCTGGTGGCAAAGGGGTTTCAGCAGAAAGAGAAGGAAGATTACAAAGAAGTGTTTGCCCCAACTGCTACAAGGCCATCTATGGCTTGAAGCAGGCCCCGAGATGCTGGTACAACAGGCTGGCCAGTGCACTGGAAGGGATTGGATTCCGTGCGAGTGCATGCGACGAGAGCCTATTCCTGATGGGCGAGGGGGAGTCGCTTGTGCTTCTGCTGGTGTACGTGGATGACATCCTGCTCTTCAGCAGCAGTGACAAGGAGATCGATGGGGTGCAGCAGAAGCTCACAGAGCAGTTCAAGTGCAAGTCACTTGGAGAGGCAAGGTACTACCTGGGAATGCACATTGAGCGGGATACTGAACGTGGCTGGCTCAAACTGCATCAGGGACAGTACATCAACACCTTGGCTGAGAAGTACTCTCTGCAGGAAGAACGGGTTGTGGTCACACCTTTGCCTTCCGAGTTCAAACTCATAAAGGCAGCTGAAGGAGAAGGAGTTGAAAGTGAAGACCAGAGGCAATTCCAATCCATGGTCGGGAGCCTACTCTACGCTGCTGTGCATACTCGGCCTGACATCAGCTTTGCTGTGGGACAGCTGGCTCGAGTAGTGCAAAATCCAACAGAAGAGCAGTGTGGTGCAGCGGAGAGAGTGGTGCGCTACCTCAAGTCATACCCTACAGTGGGAGTACAGTATTCAGCCTCTGCTCAAATCAGTCAGAAAGGAGTTGAAGTTCTCAAAGAGAAGGGGGAGCAGCTTGGAGAAGGAAATGTGTTCCTTTCCTGTTTTGCTGATGCCACATGGGCTTCTGAGCATGAGGATTCATCATCAGTAGGTGGATACATCTGCATGGTGGGAGGTGGGCCTGTAAGTTGGAGGTCCAAGAAGCAGTCTGAGACGGCACTATCGTCAGTGGAATCTGAGTACATGGCGATGTTTCATGCGGCAAAAGAAATGATTTGGCTAAGAAGGCTCTTGAAGGAGATCGGCCATGAACAGACTTGTGCGACACCTCTGTTCAGTGACAGCAAGGGAGCCATTGCCATGGCACGCAATGCAGTTCTTCATGGGTTGAACAAGCACATGAGGATCAAGTGGCATTGGCTGCGGAAGGAGGTGAAGCTTGGGACACTAGATCCGATCTACGTGAAAACTCAGCAACAGCCAGCCGACTTCCTTACCAAGCGGCTAGCTGAAGAGCCACACTGGCGCTGTGTGAGGATGGCGGGAATGTCCTTGAACTAGAGACGGCGAAACAAGCCGACAGTCTGAGGGGGAGTGTGTTGGTGCATATTCGTTTGCACGTCATCCTGTCGTCTGTTCGCATCATTTCGTTGCATGTGTTTTGTGTGCTACATTGTTTGTATGGTTTGTTGGGTTTGCATGTCTTTGCATATTCATCTTGTGCTTGTGCAGATGTGCTTGGATTGTACATCAGATCGAGCGCATTCCAACGAGCCAAGAATTGTTGGAATCGGAGCACATATGAAGAAGTTACGAAGAAATGTTTGATGGATTTGTTACAACTTATTGGAAGTCCTTGGCAGCTGCTACACCAAAGTTGGAGAGCCCTAAAACGAGGAGGGACCAGCATGTGTGGGACTTTTGTCCCCATCTTGCAGCTGCAGCACTTGGGGTTTGGAGACCAACCTGGCACAGTGTGAATTTTGTCTTGCCAGGCTGGCTGAACCTGACGATGGGGAGTCAAGACTTTGACTCTTGTCATGTTCTTGACCAAGGGCCTCCAGGGTCCTTCCCTTTCATCCTTCCCTTCCCACCCCACCTTCCAACTATGCTTCAATGCCTTTTCCATCATGCCTCTGAACTTGTAAGCTTCTATCATAGTGACTCTGAGGACTGTCAATTTCTCCTAGGGCAGATTACCCCCCAGTGCGCCAAACGCCATAGGTCAATCGTTAAGCTACGGAATCGAGTGATTCAACTTTCAGTGAAAAGTTGACGCTGCAAGCTACAACATATCCGATTTTCAGATCGTTTCATCGATTGGAGTTTTGGATATAGCTTTTCGAAGGTCGCAAGTTTTCTAGGCGTCATAACGAAGTGCTGCAGAAATTTCCAAGGAGCCATTAAATCATCTGCTCATAGCCTTCTCTAACCAACATCTGCTTGAGGCCATACACTGGGCGCTTCAGCTTCCACACTGTGTTGGCAGGGTAAGTGCCCGGAAACCCCGGTGGGCGTTCCATGTGAACATCCTCCTGCTGATGTGCGCCTCAACATGTTGTTCCCTGGCACTGCCATGATTAAAGATTGTAGAGGAGTGCCGCATGGAAGAGGGCATATCCCCAGAGTGACCGTGGTGCGTTGGCGTGACTGAGGAGGCAGCGAGCGATCTGAACCATGGTGTGGTTGCGGCTCTCTGCAATGCCGTTCTGCTGTGGGCTTTCGGGGAGCGTGAAGTTTTGCCGAATCCCTTAGGCCGCACAGAAGTTATCGAGTTTCCCATTGCGAAATCCTCATCCACCTCCCCCGACGCTTGTTTGGGCAGACTTCGATGCCCCACCTCCGGCCGCTGCCCCTTCTCCGGTGCCTTCTCTGTCCGGCGTGTCTCACCCGGCCTCCCCAGTATCCTCCGCAGCGGCACCTCCTCCTGCTCCGCCTTCCCCGCATGTCGAGCCCGACTCACAAGTCTCCTATCGGAGGCGCCCAGTCCCTCCGGTCCCACCACAGCCGCCTTCGTCTCCGGCCTCTAGTCACACTCGTTCCAAGGGACCGGCTCCGCCTCTCGCCTGGGGACCAGCCGCCTTCTCCATCCGGTGTTCGGTCACCCCGCCTTCTCCTGCCGGGGCTGATGTCCCCTCCATCCGTATTCGCCCCCGTGCACTTCTGGAGGACAGGCATGAGGAGCTGTTTGACCTTCACGCGGTCTGCCAATTTCTCTCTCACATCTTCCCGGACATTACTGACTGCCCTTCCCTCAACTTCACCGAGAACCCGACCATTCTGAACTCTCGCACAAAAGAGGAAGCTCTCTCGGGGCCTTATAAGAAGTGGAAGGCAGCAATGGATGTGGAGAACGAGGCGTTCATTCGCAACAACAGCTTTGACGATGTTGTTCCCCCTTCCGGTGTCAACATCGTCGGCGGAAAATGGATCTTCCGAGTCAAACAACTCCCAGGCAAAGCTCCACTGTTCAAGGCACGATACTGGCAAAGGGTTTCACCCAGAAGGAGTATCTCGACTTCTTCGAAACATTCTCACCCACGGCCAAGCTCTCGACTGTGCGCGCTCTTCTTGATATAGCCGCTCGCGGCAACATCGAGATCAAGTCCATAGACGCCTCCTCCGCCTTTCTCCAAGGCCAGCTCAAGGAGGATGTTCACATGGAACGCCCACCGGGGTTTCCTGGCACTTACCCTGCCAACACAGTGTGGAAGCTGAAGCGCCCAGTGTATGGCCTCAAGCAGGCTCCTCGTGAGTGGCACAACAAGGTGAAGGAAGTCCTCCTCGCACTTGACTTCCATCCCTCTGCCTCAGATTCCAGTCTCTTCGTTCGTCACTCCTCCGAGCCCTTCTACATCCTCGTCTACGTCGACGACTTCATTCTAGCCGCCAGAGATCCAGCCGACATGGCAGCTGTCCAGTCTGCTCTCAGCTCCGCCCTTCTCATGAAGGATCTTGGTGACCTCAAGAACTACCTGGGGATGGAGATCACTCGTGACCGCCTGGCTTGCACGATCACCCTCTAGTAACTCTGTCTCCACTCCACTCCCACTACAGCATCAGCTCACGGCCCCTCCAGTTCCTTCTCCTGACGCCTGCAAGGACCCGTACCCTGAGCTAGTCGGTTCACTTATGTATGCCATGATGTGCACTCGACCAGACTTGGCTTACCAGGTTAGCGTCCTCTCTCGGTACGTCTCCCCCGGACGCTACACTGCCTCGTAATTGGTCTGCAGCCAAGAGGGTCCTCCGCTATCTACAAGCCACCAAGTCTCACATCCTCACTCTTGGTGGTACCTCTCCAGTCAAGCTCGAGGGATACACAGACTCCTCATGGGCCGATGACCAGACTGACAGACGCTCCTCCCAAGGGTACTGCTTTACCCTTGGTAGCGGAGTCATCAGCTGGCGCTCCACTCGGTCCTCTGCAGTCTCCCTGTCGTCCTGCGAGGCCGAGCTCTACGCGGGCACAATGGCTGCTCAAGAGGCACGCTGGCTCTCCTTTCTCCTCGCTGAGTTAGGCTACCCCCAGCAGTCGCCCACCCTGTGGTGTGACAACCAGAGTGCCATTCATCTCACCAAGGATCCT